TTGCTGATTAAGTTTCAAGATGATCATAGGTTGTTATTGTTTTACTCTTTGAAATGTGATCAAAAGTTGAAAATGTGTTGAGGCGGTAATTGTTTTTAGAATTACACAGAGTAGACACTGAATTCCCCTTTTTGAAAGTTTTATTGCAACTACAGACTTTTGTGGAAAAAGGATGTTCCAGTACAGATCATTATCTTGTAGTGTAGAAATGGTCTAATTGTACAAATGTAATATGTTCTAGACTTTGTCAGTTAGCTTCATTTAAATATATTTGTTTTTATACAAGAAAATTCAAAAATAATGTGACTTGTGTACCAACAAATACCTACATCCATCCTTGATAATCCTTCATTATGTCACACTACTTGTTCCCATCATACACTGGAATCCTTGATGATCCTCTGTTATATCACACTACTTGTTCCCATCATACACTGGAATCCATGATGATCCTCTATTATGTCACACTACTTGTTCCCATCATATATATACCATAATCCATAATAATCCTTGTACTGGATTGTGTGGATTCAAAGATACGGGTTTTGCATCTCGTTTCCACAAAAATGGGCTCAACACTGGGGCTGTGGATGTACTAAAAGAGTAGACTGACAGTGAAATCCCAGTATTTGGTCAGATAAGAATAGCCCAAAATTTGGCAATTGACGCTGTTGATTACCTGCCTTCTTTTTTGAATTTATCAGCCAAATATTATAAACAAACAAAGTTTTTATAACCCTATACTTGCGTCACACTACTTCCAGTATACAGTGGAAAAGTTCATAATATTTCATTATGTTGTATGACCTGCTTTCAGTGTAAACAGTTAAAGATAAAACAAATTTTGTATCGACTTCTATTTCGCCTGATTTATGATTTTTATTTGCTTATATCCTTATTACTTCTGTTATAAACAATATGGTCCACAGGTTGTGCATTATTTGATGGATGCTCTTCCAATATGCCCCACCCCAGTGGCACAGCGGTATGTCTGCGGACTTACAACGCTAGAAACCGGGTTTCGATACCCGTGGTGGGCAGAGCACAGATAGCGCATTGTGTAGCTTTGTGCATAACTACAAACCAACAATCGTTCAATATACCTCAGGTTGCAGTTTTATTTCACCATCTTTTTCTCGTACGTGAACACGTTGTCTGGCATCAAAGAGGGTCACGATTGTGGAATGTTATTATAATTGAGCTTGCGATGTATGTGTCCAAAACTCGGATCTCGGAAAATACCGCATCGATCATCACCGATCATAAATGGGTAATATTTTTACTCCTAGGCAGCATTTTAATAACTGAGAAATAAATAAAACAATTGAAATTTCCTCAAAAATGATATGTTTCAGATCTAATCAATAAAAATTACAAAAAAGGAGTAAGTTTCAAATATAAAACAATCAAAAAACAAACTTCAAAATTATTTGTTTTTCTTCAGTGAAAATCTCATGAGTGTTTTAACAGAAAATCAAGGTACTTTCATTGATAACTGCATCCACAAAGAAATACTTCAATAAAATCTAGACTTTTTCTCATAGATGGTGAACATTATTGAATGTCAAGTATGAGTACATTGTTGTTGAACTGTCGGACAAATCCAGAAAAGGCCGCAGGCCCAATAGCTTTCCATAGAAACTAGCTGGAGGGTATTTCTGCTAGTTATAATAAAACTTATTCATGTTTTCAAGGTTTCAGAACTTTGGTTCATTTGTCGTTTATCGTGTTTTGTAAATTATCTCGTTATACAAGTTTCACATTTTACACCCATGTCAATTCTGTGTTGTTTACTGAAGTTTTATGGAATTTTACTGAATGAATTTGTATTAGGTCCTTCAGGCTGTTGGTGTCGGGGTTCTTAAACATGTGGGCTAATACAAGGCACAAAACAAGGAGGTTAATCCTGAATGTTATAATTCTAAGAAATTACTAATGAAAGCCAAGAAAAATATGTAATGTCAACCATACTAAATGTTTGATTTGACTTTCAGAGCTTTTTTTTAATACGCGCATCTGCAGGATGACTTTAACAGAGTGTAAAGAGTGTTAAAATATCTGATAATGATATATGTGGAGACGTTAGAAGAAAAAATATACAAAAACTTCTGTTTAACCACTCTGCATACTGCTTACATCATCACGAGTTCATCTTCAAGTTTAAAAACTACGCCCAAAAAAGCAAATTAAGTAACCTTAAACAAACGTAGTGGGGAACTTGAGCCCTAACGTAACACAGTTTTATGTTTTAATTCTGCTATTGTTATGTTAATAGTTCAAAAAAAAAGTAACTAACTGACAGCGCATTAGTTGTTTTTTCAACTTCGTAATGCCACTGCACTACAAATACGTGTGTTGTAAAGAGCAGGGTAACGTTAAAGAGAAAGAGAAAAATCTAGCTTGAATTTAAACATTAATCTACGTTGTTGCAAAGAGCTATAGTTGCATGCTGTTAATAACCGGTTTCGTTTTCTGCTAACATTCTTTACTGACAGAATGTTTATTATAGAAATGTCATAGCTTTGATACAGTCGTGAACTTCGCATTTACTTCGTGCTTTAGCGCTATTCACAACTTATTATTTTATGATTAAAAGTGATTTTATACCCAAATTAATTACATTAAAATGTATATCTCACCAAAGGACAGATAGCCCATTGTGTAGCGTTGTGCTTTACTAAATACAATGTGTACCTCACTGAAGATATCATGTGTGTGTGATATGGTATAGTTTGGATTACTTTAATAATTTAATATTTATAACTCTAAAGCAATTAATGAAATGTTTAGATAGTTATTAGTCTCTAATGTGTTTATTAATTCAGAACTGTAACACACGATATTGTGAATGGCAAACAGAGACATCACAGCGTTAAAAATAATTAAGGACAATGAATGAAAACTCCTGACGAATGCAAATGTTATCAAGGGCACTGTGAGCCAAAGTGTACAAGATCGTGACTAGACTGGCATTCTTCTTCGAAGCTGAGACCTGGATCCTGAAGAAGAAAGAAGGCTTGTTAATATGAACAGAAATGAAAATGCTGAGACTGTTGTTGGGAGTGTCGCTGAAAGAGAAGAGAACGAATAAAGAAATAGCAGAAGTCTGTGGAAACGAAATAAAGGCAAGAGAAGCGAAGGTGAGGTGATTTGGTCACGTGAAGAGAATAACAAGCATTAAGCAGGGCAATAGAGCTGCCGTTAGCCGGCAAGAGAAGATAAAGATAGGGAAGGCCAGTAAAGCGTTGGAAGGATGGGATTAAAGAAGTCATGAACGAGAAGTGAGTTGCAGAAGACCTGGCAATGAATAAAGATGATTGGAGGAGGGCAACACGTGTGAAGGACAGCGACTTCTGCTAAATGGAAAAGCCGAAGAAGATTGTTAGTAAAGTGTGTTCTTTTAATTCTTTTTTTTCAATCCCCACCCACCCTAAATAAAAAATACTTAAACAAGACTAATAATATGTATAGATTTAATTTTTGGTTTTTTATTGTTTTGTTGAAAGATTGATGCATAAGTCTCTTGTCATTTTGTTGTATACACGTCAGATACGATTTATCAATGTGTTGCTTCAGGAGATATAATTTTAACTTTGATACAACTAAACAGATATCATTTTGTAGAATTGTTTAAAAACTAAAACATATACACATAACACAAGGGGGGTTAAACAAAATCACGTAGACAAAATTAGTTAAGTGAAAACTAGTATGTAATTTACATAGTTTTTATAACAAATGTTGAGTTTTAACTTCAGCAAAACCTACAAAATTAACTTAACACAAGGTGATTCATTTAACTTGTTTAAGAGTGATGGCGTAACAATATGTGATCTGACAGAAGTAACAAGATATAATTAGTATTTTCTGTTTGTGTACGAAGTTAATAAGGTAATCAAGACACGCTATAAAAACAAAATAAAGTTTTATCATAGGTTTGGATTAATAATATTAGCATTTGTTTTGTTTATTTTCTGTCACCTTGCGTTAAATTTTGTTTGGTGAATTTTGTGCAAAGCTATTAGAGTACTAGCTATCCCTAATTTAGAAATGATATACTAGAAATAAGGCAGCTAGTCAATATCGCCCACCGTCAATTCGTGAACTACTCTTTATCAACGAATAGTGGGATTGACCGTCACATTATAACACCACCATGGGTGAAAGAACGAACGTGCTGAGTGAAGGATTTCGATCTCGCGACTCGCAAATTGCATGTCAAGCGACCTGCCCATCAGGTTATGCTTGTTAATAAATGTTAGACGTAATTGCTATACAGTGCTTTGCGAGCTTTCGGTGTCAACAGTAGCTTTGAAATCAGTTTAATACATTTAGAGTTGTGTACAAGCCGCCAGGGGCGGTGCTAACAGAATGGGACCTATTAGCAGGAAATTTTTGGCGTCCTCATACCCCCCTCCTCCACCAAACTATACTGTGCGTGTACTACTACGCTTACCACCCAATCAGTACACGCGTGACTGAAAAGTTTCTTGCTGTTGCGATTTGTAAATGTCCATCCGTCATCAAGTGATGTGATTTTGGATCGCTTTCATTAAAAACATTTTTTTCTCGTACGTGTACAATAACAAAACACTTCTAATTCTTGAAAATCCCTATGGGAGTAGATAAAGCATGTAGTGTTGAAAAATATAATAGGTTTAATACTTATGTCTTATGACAAGTACAATTACGATCATGTTTCGTCAGCTTGTAAAAGGCGCAAAACCGTAATATATATTTTACCCTTTGAGCTTTTTCGCATATATTTAAATGCAGTTCATACAGCTAACTTAAATGTTCATTTTACCATTAAGCAGTCACTTCGAAAAGATTTTTTTTATAAGAAAGTATCACCCAAACTTACAACTTTAAAAACAATCCATCTGATCCAACAATCAAAAGTGTCTTTAAAAAATACAAATGATACGAATAACGATGCAAGCAGACAGAATTTTACAATAATCATATTATTTCATAAATAAGTTTTGTTTTCAGTGCAATACATTTCACACACAAATTCCAATAATCGTTTCATGTCGTCCACTATCTCACAAATCGCACACCAAAATAGTAAAAGGTCATGAAAAAACATCTGACGAATTATACAATGAAATTCTCACAACCAAACCCTGGTACTCAACAAGCCTTCATACGAACAAGAGAGAAAAATAATCTTTAACTTAAATACACGTAGCAAGCGTAACCTTCTATATAATTCTTTAAGTTATAGAACAATTAAAATAAATACAGAATTTCTAAAAGTTAAATGCTACAATATATATGTTAACGTATTTTTAACATGGCCTATGTAACGTACCACAGGATTTTAAACATAAAAGATGTAATAGTTTTTCAAACTACTCTAAATTATGGGTCCTTTAGGTTCTTACAGTTGCATAGAATGTGGTGATAATATTTTGATTCCTTTCAAAGAAAGCGTACTGTATCCTTTTACAATGTTCAAGTCAATGGGCGTTTTTTGTTTAAAATGAACCTTTTCTTTAACTGAATATGCAGTCTCAATGTTCTTGTTTTCTTTTATCCTTATGCTTAGTTCAATTCCATTACAAGAATTGCAACTTGTCAACTCTTCTCCAGCCTTTAATGAAAGATCTTTCGATTTTACGCCGTTATCAACAATCAGTTGATTGGCGGTTACTTGGTTAGAACTGTCGTCTCCTTGTGATCGAGAATACGCTGTCTGCAAGACGTTGGTAACATCCTGAATAGCACGTTGTCTTAAGCAGCTGTCTTTTTTGGAATTAGCAACGTTTTTCCAATTAATGGTCACTCTGGACGAATGAGGTTCTTTGGCGAGTGAAGGACGTATGTTTAGAGTATCATTACCTCTTATTGAGGTGTTTTTTGATGTATTTTGAGCAGCGTAATTCTCTACTTCAGATCTCACTGATTCAGAGTATGTTTGCTCATGACACTCGCGAGTCTTTCTTTGTTCACCACCTACGAATCTGCCTAAGTGTCGCTTTAATCGAACAAGTTCTAATTTCTGTTTCTTGATAATTCTGTCTTTCTCTTCGAATAACTTTTCTATCCTGCGTTGTTCTGTTTTAAGATCACCCTGGAATCTAAACAATTGTAAAGTAATTTCTTTCATTTCCCGATCTTTCTGCTGTAGCATCAAATGCATTTTCTCCTCCTGTTTTTCTGCACGTGTTTTCCACAAAGCAACTAATTGATGGGCATAAGCAATCTGTGACGTCATTTGTAGTTTAGTTTTGCGTAGTTCTCGCTCTCTCATCATCAATCTCGTAGTGAGTCTAAGGACATCGGCCTCCAACTGAAAAAAAAACGAAAAAACATTTACAATGAAATTATAACTATTCTTATGTACAATACTTTAGTTGTTTAAATAAGTAATTGGTTATTTAATAAAACATTTTATAGCGTTATGTCCTAGTCATTTATAACTTATGCAATAAATTCACAATTATAAAACAATATATAAACTTTACACATTTTTTCCACCTCTCTGTTCAATAATACCTGTCACCAAACGTGCTCTCCCTTCCATCTGTGAGGGCGTTATAATATGACGGTCAGTTTTACTCCTCTAAGAAGACTTCTTCATTCGACCTTAATCTCATATACTTTTAGGGTTAGCCGTTCGAGTATTGTGTGTTAACCGAGAATGTTTACACTCGCGTGACTGGCCCCGACAGCAGTCCTAAAAGGCAAGCATGTTCGGTGACAGGTATTCGAGCCAGCGACCAGCAGATTGCTAGTTAATAGCCTTAACCACCAGGGTTGTGATGGTCAATCCCGAGAATTGTTGGTGCTGACTAGCTGCATTCCCTCTAGTCTGTCGCTACTAAGTTAGTCCTCGAGTAACTTGGCGTGAAATCCAAAAGAAACCAAACCGTTTAGACGTAGAGTCTCTTTAACCTTACAGAACAATACGGTATAGCTTTCAAGTTACATTTCTAAAGTATTTTCTGGTGGTGAGATTACAGCACACGATCGGACGATTGGTGTGTGATCAACAATGAATACGTCGCTATGGGTTGTTGAAATGGAATAAAGTCAGCTGTATTGTCAGTTTGAGATGACAATGTGTATTTGTGGTTAATATACAATAAAACACTGGGAAAAAAAAATGTGTTATTTAAGGAAGACTACAATACATGTTAAAAACACTTACTGATGCCAAGAACCTTTTCAATACATCAGTGTTAACGAAAATACAGAGAAATGACTGGTATCTGAAGTGGTTATTTATGTCGTTCTTGTTAAAACAGAACCTCAAAACTAAACATTTTTTATATAAAGCAGAATCGGCGGTTTAAGGAGCTCCTCTTCAAGTCTCCATTTTTTTCTGTTCAACGACAAAATGTCACTTTTAGTTAAATAAATGAATACGTAATCGGTGTTAAAATAAACAAATAAAGCTGTGTTATTAATTCTTACCATAAGCAACGTAAATAAAACTGATAATAATTATAATTCACTTGCTTAACACCATGACAGTGTCTGTTGTACTCCAGACGTTCTGATGAGTTGTGGTATTGGCCGAAAGGCCTTGTTGGCATTCGATATAATAGATGTGTTGTGGTTGACATATTATAATATATTCTCCTCTGCTTTCACTTATGGGTGCTTCGAATTTCAATACAGTAACCACCCCTTTCTCGTGTATAGAAGATGTTTCTTTCTTTCCCCCTTTTGTGTGTGTGTGTGTGTGTACGTGTGTTTGGCTGTTGTTTGTTTCTCCTGTCTCTTGACTTACTTGAATTTTCTAGTCGACTCTTCATCCCGCAGTCTTCGTCTCAATGGCATTTATATCTATATTTTTCTCCTGCTTCCAAGAGGCACATTAAGCACTGTCCTAAGTATTCACACGATCTTCTTCTTTATAAATAATTACGAATTCTGCCTTCAATAATAATAATTGTTGCTCTTCCAGTGGGCGAAATATTTTTGTGTTTGTGTGTCAATTTCCTTTCAGCTCAATTTTTGCCAAGTCGCTTCTCATTTAGCTGACTGTATTGACCTTGTGTACTTCTTTGAAGGAGGTGTTAATTATCTTTATATACCCCCCCCTCAGTGGCACAGCGGTATGTCTGCGGACTTACAACGCTAGAAACCGTGTTTCAATACTCGTAGTGCAGATAGCCCCTT